AGAATAATTTAGAGAAAACATATTATTGGTTAAAATTTTAATGAATAAAATTACTAATTAGAGAATAAAATGTAAGCAGAAAAACCAAATACCTCTGTAAAATAATATTGAAAAATTGAAATTTGTAAACATCATAAATCATATTAATATACTCATATAATCAATTATTTCATTAAATTTTTTCAAAGAATAAAAACTAACTAATTTTAAAATGAAATTATCATAAATATACTATTCCAAATTGTTGATAAAATAAGTTTAATTTTGTACAATTAATAGACATTGGACGTTATAAAAAATATCCTTATTGTTTCGTTTTCGATTTCACATATTTTTTCTACATTAACTTTTATCCAAATAAGAAATAAAATAAAAAATAATTTATAACGAAATATTCAGAATATGATGATAATTACATAAATTACCTAGAAATAATGATAGATTTTTTTTAAATAAGATTTTTAATGTTTTAGAAAATACATTATTATATATGTGAGGAATGATTTCAGGAAATAATCATAAGTTTTTTTCAATTTAAATTTTCACCAGTTAAGATAAATGTAAAAGGTAACATAACATTTCTTTATGGTATATTACAATTTCTTTGTTAAAGGCAAATTTATTTTTTATGAATGTAATAAGTCCTTCTTCATTATTTAAAACTCATTTTTTTCATAATAATTGAATATTGAGAAAATCAATATATTATTATTATTTAACAATGCATAAAATTATGATAGACATGAAATAAATGAGATAAGGAAGTTTTCGTTTAATAAATCTTAAAAATTAAATAACGGCTATACATTTTGAATTAAGTAACTACAAAATCTAAGTGTATTAATTAATAATCCAGAAGTCTCTATATTTAAATAATTAATTAACTATATTTTTCTTTATCCATCAAATAATAATAATGATAGTAGAATAAATATTTTAACAATATTAGACATAAAAATAATAACCGTTTTGAAATTGATCGTTATAATGCTGAATAATACTTTATAAAATAAAATTTAAATAATTCGTAATATTGATTATTACATATCTATTCATTTATAATATGTATAATCAATATATGACATTATACATTAAATGCATAATTTAAATTATGAAAATGTTATCTCGACTAAGTAAAAGAATTTAATTAAATATAAAAATTTTTATTTCAAGTTTCCTTTATTTGAATAATTTTTTAATCTCGAAAATGAAGCAAATAGAAATTTAATCAAAGGATAAAATTAACTTTGGCGTTATTTAACAAAAATTAATTCTAAATTCTGTACAAAAAAAAAGGGAGATTTAGGAGATAATAACACAGAGAATACTTATTTATCTCTAAAAAAAATAGGAAAAAATTCAATATTTAATTATATTATTATTATTATTCTTTTGTTATTCTCGTTGTCGTAATGATTTTTCTCATTGTTATTAATATTAATAATAATAGTTATTATATTTTATGTAGTTTTAAGAATTTTCGTATTTTTCTCAAAGATGGGAGTATTTTTACTATATGCGTTACCCCCAAAAACAAACCAAATAAGTTTCTTTAATGGTATTTTGATGAATTTTTCAGATATCATCAATTTCCATTTTAATTAACAATCATACAATTGAATTAACGATAAACGCTTGGAATATCTATATGAGCAGTGCGAAACCTCGATTCATACTGCCTATTACATTTTGTTCGATTAGGATATTACAATTTTTAAGCAAGAACAATGTTTACAGTTTTATATACTCACAATCGCTCTTGCTCATTTTCATTAAGTGCAATGTCTCTACAAAAAGTTTCAAATAAATTACTGCTTAATGGATATGAAAAAAACACAATGAAAATAAAATGTATATATCCACGTATCAATATACATCGCTGATGTAGAGCTTCGCGCATTAATTAATATCTATTTCTTCCTGATTAGCAAACAATATCTTAATCTAATACTTTAAATAGTTCTTGCTTTTTCTTTTTGAATGGGTTTTAGGAATGTGCCTATCGAAAACACTGCGTAATGATTTAATATGCTAAGACTGGTAGGAAGAATTAGAAAATGAGTAATTAATATTCATTTCAAATAATATGTCGTGAGCCAAATATTAATTTCCAATTTCGTATATTTCTTGATAATATTTAATTTTCTAAATTATCACAAAATCAATTTACTATTTACTTTATAAATTTTAATCGCTGTAACAAGGTAAATTATTAAATTTGGGATAAAATTATTAAAGTCGAAAAAAGATTAAACCTTGCTACAGGTGCACTGATTGTATGGGATTGAAAATTTACAATATACATTTTAAAATTTTTAATTTTTTTGCAGACAATAATATAATACGCTTTACTTATCATATAATATTTTTTTATATTTCTTTTATGAGTGCAAATTCTAAGTCGTGGAAAACAATCTTTTTCAATTTCGTATATAACAAATGTCGCTTTACAGCTAAATGTTTCATCAGTATCACAAACTAAATTCTTTATATTTAATTTCTTATTTGAATATTTAAAATGCGTTACAACTGAAAATTGATAAAACTCGAGCATATTCATAAATACATATTTTATTTTCAAATCTTATTTTCATCTACAAAATCTTATTAGATTTATTATTATTATTATTATTATTATTTTTGTTTTATTATTATTATAATATTATTTTTATAATTATAATATTATTTTTATTTTTCTATTTTATTTTAACTCTATTTCACGTTTATTATTAAATTATTTGAATTACACTTCATACGCTCTAGATATAAAATATTGTAATTTTTTTTTAATGTTAGTACTGCATTTTTAAATCTTTAGTCATCAAATTTTATATACTAATGAATGAATAAATGTTTAAAAATATTGTAAAGCTACTGCACAAACGACAAACAATGAGCATATATATTCGCTCTGTCTATGACAATGTACAATTAATATTTCTAAGCTCGTAATTAATTTTTTATTTACATTAATATCTATTGGTGGTGCAAAATGTCATTAAAGTATATCCATTTACCGTTGGCAGATTGTCTCTTAATAATAATTAACTGAAAGAAGAAATATTACAATTCCTTGAAAATTGTATGTCTTCTCAATTTTCCAAATGGCACGTGTATCGTACACATGGAGTACAACAATCGTACAGAAATAAATGACATTTTTAATCGTTTCACGTGAATGCATTCAAAATATTAGAAAGATTAAGGAATCCACGAAAACCAAGTTCGATAGATTTTTTTCTTTTAATAAATATACAATATCATTTCAGTAAAGATAAATAAATTTTACTTTTTTATTGTTTTTAACAATTTGAGGTGTCGTGTTAAATATATTAAGATGTGAAAATTTGATAAATATGAGAGTATCGTTAAAAAATGTTATTATTATGTGCTTATATAGATTGTTCTAATCATCTCAACAATAAGAATGTATAGATAATGTTAAAATTGACAAGCAGATAAATATGATATTTATATTTATATATATATATATATATATATATATATTTCTTCTTCTTATAATTACTTATAGGATGTATATAATGCTGTTTTATCCAAATATTAAAGTAATAGATTTTAAAAGTTATGAAATATTTTCAATATTATTGTGGGAAAGATACTTTAAACAAAAATCACTAAATAATTGGATAAAATATGTTTTTATATATTCGGTACATTATGATGGAATATTAGCAGTATCAATAAAGAATCTGGAATCGAATCGAATAAAATTATTAAATTTATGAAAAATAATCCTTGATAAATCGAATTCCCCAAACAATAATACTCTCTTGATAAAAATTATGTATAATTTTATATTCGGTTTAACAAAGAATACTGAACGTGGTATTAAATGAGCATTAAATTTGATTTCACTTGTTAAAAATATTGAACAAATAAATTAGCACGAGCATCGTACGTATAATTAATAAATTAATGTTTAATATTGCATGCACATCTTGTTAGATGGATCTAAAAATATCCAAGATGCAAAAATTTATAAATATATATATATATATATATATGTGTGTGCGCGCGCGCGCGTGTGTGTGTGTGTGCATGTGTGTGTGCATGTATTTTTTATTCGGATGTAACCGTATTTGAAAAATTAAAAAAAAAATTCTTGAAATACATTTTTCAAAATCTCCAATTGTTGAAAAACTATCGAATCGACTTTTCCGAAATTTTACTTATTTATTTAAGGTTAGAAAAAATATAATATGTGACCGTTTAGTTTCTTACTCATACAAATTTTCAACTTCAAGAATGAAAAGAAACATCTTTTGTACAAAAATGGAATTTTAAGTACGCATATCCACTATTAAGCTGTAAATTCTTATATCACAAACTCAATAATAACTACGATTCCTACTTATCTTTTTTTACGAGAAATACAAAAAAATTAATTTGCACCTCACAAATCACTATAACCTCTAAATTCCTTTTTTTCTTTATAGTCATTATTTTTTTAGGACATTGATATTTTCATCGTACGAATTAAGCAATTAAAAATTATTTAATCTAATTTAATTGAAAAATTATGCTCAAACGGCAATATGCAATAACCACTAAATGATCGATAACATCTTCTAAATATAACTTGAAAAAAAATTAAATAAAAAGCCTTTATAACAAGAACTTGTACGACACTTACAGTGAAAATAAGATTTATAAATCATCAAACAAAAATAATGTCTTTCCTTAAAGCTTTTAAATGGAAAACTCTCGTTTTCTCGAATTCGTTTCTCATCACATTTAAATAACAACATAATATTAATTAACCCATGTCAAATATCTTATGTATCGAATAAATTAAGCATCTAATTCTAAATACACTCCACTTACAACAACTGACTACATTTTAAATACTTTTCAGCCAGCCTAAAAATTCTAATTCTCTATAATCTCCGTTTTGCAAAATAACGTAGATATTCGTCTCCGCTGATGGCTGTACTTGCGCAATAGCTTACGTACACATCGACAAGGTGTGCGCGCACGCTTATATACGTGTGTACAATACGAGCTAACCATAGAAACATACACATTAGAGATTATACAGCTGAAACTGCCTTTCAGTTTGCGACTAAAGGATCGACGAAGTTTATGACGATTGAATACGAGATCTTTCCCATTTACATGATATATAGTTATTAACAAACGCATAAGTTAGCGCACAAGTACGCACCGGTACAGAAACGATAAACGTCCAAAATTACATAAAATAAATAATAATATCGAGTTTAAATAAATTGCCCTGAAGCCTATAGGGAGATATGAACGTTGCTGATGGACCGGGATTCTCCCGCTACGAGGCCCTAATGCTCGTGGCGAGACTATCCTTTGTTACGGCGATTGGATTCTTTAGTATGAAATGGATTTTAAATCAACTTGATCCTAATAACAAACAAAAGAGAAAAGCTAAAAAAAAGGTAAATCTATGTTATCGCTTTAAAGTTGCGTCATTTATGACATAACCTTGAAAGAGCTTTTTATTCATGGTAATTTTATTGTTGCTGGTGCTGCCTGGGAATGGCTAATCCACATAAAAGCTTCATCGTATGAGCAACTGAATTCTATGTAATTTCAGGCCGAAGAGAAGTTACGTAAGTTGGCTAGGACAGATGCAGTTGTCTTGACAAAAAGTATTGATCTTGATCAGTTAACCGATTATGAAATGATGATTGCCAGTCACTTAATTAATCCAAACGATATTAGAGTATCGTGGGACAATATCGCTGGTCTGGAAGATGTGATTCAGGAACTTCAGGAAACCGTTATATTACCTATTCAAAAGAAGGAATTATTCAAAGATTCCCAGTTAACTCAAGCACCAAAGGTATAAGAATTAAGCACCAATGTTTAAACATATATACCATGGTGTTAAGGATTAATATTATTTATACAAAGACATTATTATAGAAATTAAGGGAATTTAGAAAATGCAATTGTATTGTTTTAATATAAATTAAAACAAAATGTCTGTAATAACTGACGATGAGTTGCAAAATTTTTTATAATTATTGAATCCCTTTTTAGGGTGTCCTACTTCATGGACCACCTGGATGTGGGAAAACTATGATTGCCAAAGCTACGGCCAAAGAAGCTAAAACTTGTTTCATAAATCTAGATCTCAGTATATTAACGGATAAATGGTATGGAGAAAGTCAAAAACTCACTTCCGCCGTATTTTCCTTAGCAGTTAAACTTCAACCTTGTATTATATTCATTGATGAAATTGGTAAATTATTGTTAATATACCATGTTCTTAGCTAATGGTTCGATTTTAATTCAACTTTACAATGCCTTGCCTTTGTCTTGTCATAGATTCATTTTTGAGAGCGCGCAACTCGCATGATCACGAAGTAACGGCTATGATGAAAGCACAGTTTATGTCTTTGTGGGATGGTTTGATTACCGATCCATCTTGTACAGTTATTGTTATGGGAGCAACAAATAGACCGCACGATTTGGATAGAGCAATTATTAGACGAATGCCTGCTACGTTTCATGTTGGCTTACCCGTAAGCTTATATAAATTTTTATCATTCGCATATTATATATTGATAATGGTATATCTGATAATCTGAAGGAGGCTTTCCATATATTTTAGAATGAACAACAACGAATTCAAATTCTAACTCTAATATTGGTAAATGAGCCAATAGCGAATAACATTAACATTGCTCGATTATCGAAAATGGCCGATGGTTTTTCGGGTTCAGATTTACAAGAACTTTGTCGAAATGCATCGGTATATCGTGTTAGAGACTATATGAAAAATTCAAAGTAAGTTTTTCAGTTTTCCTAAAGTCTCAAATTCGTTTTAGACATTATTGTTTACTCACCTCTATTCTAATTTTTAGTCCCACATGTTCTGGGTTAAACGATGAGGAAATATACCATGACGCTGTGCGTCCAATAAACATGGACGATTTAGTGACCTCTTTAAGCAAAATGAAAGCCTCAAAAATGCACACAGGTAGCTTAAATATATCTAAGCTACAGTTTGAATAAAATAATTTAAAAACTATTATGTTTGAAAAAAGTGTTGTTTGACATTCTTTTACTGAATCGGCATTTAATCTATTCGAAAAACATATTTTCACAAAAGATTTTAGAAATTATATTTATTTGTTATTTCTTTAGTTTTAATACATTTAATTTTCAAATTATTCGAAAAACCGCTTCATGATTGAATTCTTTATATAAGTCGTACTTCTATTTTCTAGGGATTGATATTACAGATTCGCCAATATGAGTATTGAAATTTTTATTAAATTTTAATGCATCATCATTAAAGTAATTTACACGTCTTATTCCTCAAAATCATTGTTTTTGTTCGTTTTATTTTCTTTGATTTGTCGTTGTTATTTTGCAAAAAGTAAAATATCAATACGACTATAAAAATGAATATATGACAATTCATGAAGAACATTAATACACAAATATAAAATACAGAGTATAATGTACAAATAGATGAAATTAAATATTAGGTTCAAATGCGATGAAGAATCGACATGTTATAGTAATAATTTTCATGAAATTCATTATTAGAAATATAATGTATAAACGAATATGATGAAAAGATTTTAAAATAGAATCTGTAAATATCTTTTTGAAAATCTTATCAATGCATATGCGTGCGAGAGAGAGAGAGAGAGAGAGAGAAAGGGAGGCTACATCCTCTTGAGATTTCAATGAATAAGCAAAAAAACAAAAAAAAAATAACACGCTTTAGGCGAAAAATAATTAACAAAAATATTAGAATGCTTATAATTTATAATTTATGTTAAGGGACTACTTTTAAGCAGCTTGTATATTTTTTACTCAAAGATGAATATAAAAAGTAATCGTGGTAAATAAAGTCAAAATATTCATTTGAATGTAAAGAAAAGAAAGAAAGAGAGAAAAAAGGATAGGGGAAAGGGAATTTAATATAATTGGGCTTGGATTACATAAAATGATATGGAATCCTTTCAATGTTCAAAACTTATCGTCGGTACATTAACAATTAATAAGAGTGGGAATATTGTATTATATTATTATTGAAAAAAATATCAGAAAAATACCGCCGGCCCACTTCTTATCCGAAAAATCTAATTCTAAAATAAATCTACTTATTAATTTGTAATTAAATAGTTTTTTTTATTAATAATTGTGCTTTAAGATGCGCTGATTATGCCCTCTCTACTTAACATCGTCAAATATGCATATCTAAATATTAAATCGTAGTTTTATAATATAAAATTGATTTAACGAAATAAATAAATCTTACAGATCAATTTTATCAATAAATAGTTAGTAAAAGATCTTGGAATTATTGTTTTATACGCATATTTCATACGCACTTATGGGAATGAATTGTGCCCATTCGAATGCTGAATTCTTTTCGAATGAAACGAAAAATACAGTTCGCTTACCAATATGAAATACATACGTATATGCAATATTTGTTTATTTTATAGTTATCCGTTATAGAGTTATTCGAATATTTAATTTAATTTAACCTATGGAATTACTAATATGTTTAGCGATATTTTTAAGAAAATATTAAATGGTCTTTAGCTTAAGTATTGACAAATTATTAGTTATTAATTATTCCAATACGACAAAATCCCATATATTTACTTCGAATACAGTCAAATGACGTTTTCTTTTATTTATTTATTTATTTATTTTATTATATATATATATATATTTTTTTTTTATTATTATTATTATTATTATTTGTTCATACTTATTTGATGTAACGTGTTTTATTATATTTGTTTCAACTGGAAAAAAACGATATTTTGAGCACAGCCTATCACGACAGTGGATTAAAAATTGTAAAAAAAATATTATTTTTTTTCTTTTACACAACGATTTCCTTTATTACTACAACGATCTAAATAATATTAACATGAATACTTACAATTTCTATTTTCTATTAGTATCTCAATATTCTAGTGTAAATTATTATAAGAAACAATTTTTTTTTTTACCTCCTCAATTAAATCCGTGAATTTATATACTTTGTTGTTAAAATCTCTAAAAGTCAACGATTATTCGGCCTAGTGAACTGAAAAAACCTTTTTCTCCATAAATTTATGAATCTGTCGAAATGCAAAAGAGAACGAATAATGTTACATGATGCAAATAAAAGGATTCGCTTGGTCGGCCGCAGAGGGGCTGAGGGGGAGGTGGACGAGAACCACAATTGCAATATAATAAAACGAAATTTTATTCCAATTAATCGAATAATATTGTCAAAGAATCGTTTCTTCTACTATTGTACCAACGATCGAGACATTTTCTTGAGCCAAGGACCAACATGAATTAAACATTATTCGTTCAAGCTTATAATATTAACGAAAAAAGGTTCGATCAAACAAATACATATGCTCGCACAATAAAGTATTGGATAAAACTCGTGCAAAAGGAGAACCATTGAGATAACAATATAACGAAAGTTTTCGGCCACATAGGTAATCAAGAACAATTTCCAGCAACGGCGATGTTACTCTCGATGCTGGTACGTTTTGCTGCTGAAATTCCACTGATTCCAAGAGCGGAAAATGAATTCGTTCTCTCTGCAAGAAATGAAGGGTAAGACGTGCTTGAGATAAAGCGCAAACGGTAACGTCGCATTATTATAATAAATACGGCGAACAGAAAAACACGGTCCAGTCCGAGGCCTTCGCCGTTATCCAGCACTCGACGAGCTCCGATGCTCCAGGGCTCCAACAATCCCGGGTTAATTACCGAATTCGCGATCCGACCGAGTCACTGCGCAGGCGCGCGCTTCCGCCTACACACATAGGGCACCAGCCAGGTGGCGGGAGGATGAAAGGGGCGGGGAGGGAGGGGGGCTGCCGCTGAATAACGAAAGAGTCGTAGCCGTAGCGAGGCGCAGCAGCTTCGTCGGTCTGTTGGAATCCCCGGTAAACGATTGAGGTGTGCAGGACCAAGCAGAGCCTGCCCCCGACTACTTATTCGCTTTTCGTTGACTCCCGGGACCCGTCGCTGGACGGATGAAGGACGATCGACGAGATGATCGGCGCACCAGCCCCAGCTAAAGAAAAAAGTCGACCGTGACGCCGCGACGCCTCTTCTGACCGGGCGAATGATGAGGCAGGGGCCGCCGCCGCCGCCGCCGCCGCCGCCGCCGCTGCTGCTGCTGCTGCTGCTGCTGCTGTTGCTGCTGCCGCCGCCACCGCCACCGCCGCTGCCGCCACCGCCACTGCCGCGAGTGCAGTCGAGGCTTCCTGCCAGTTGCTAAACGAGAGCGAGAGAGGGACGAAACTAGGGGCAGATAGAGATAGACAGAGAGCGCGAGCGAGAGCAAGGACAAAGGGAGCGCAGCGGATCCCGAGAGCGAGAAGCTAAGAGTGCGTCGTCTTTTGAGTTGGCCCGGCTGCTGCTGTTGCTGCCACTGCTGCCGCCTCCATCACCGCCACTGCTGCTGCTGCTGCTGCCATCGCTGCTGCCGCTGCCGCTGCCGCCGCCGCCGCTGCCGCTGCCGCTGTTACTGCTGCCACTGCCGCTGACCGCTGTCGTGTGGAGGTGCGCGCGGAGTACAGCTGGTGCGCGAGCCGCCGCGATGTGCCGCGGATCTATTGCTGCTCCAATCGCCGCTGCTGCTGCTACCACCGCTGCCGCCGCCGCCGCCGAAGTGAGGATGATCCTAGCGAGCCGAAAACCTCCGGCGCTCGGCTGAGCCGCGCGATCTTGCACCGCTGCACTCCTGCTGCTACTACTATTACTGTTGCTGCTAGTGTTGCTGTGTGTGTGCGCGAGCGAGTGTCCGTGTGTGCACGCAACTTTGCGAGTCGCGGCCCGACATCGTCATCATCGTCATCGGGTCCAGCTTATCGAAGGTGCGTATTAATGGACGCTGCCCGGTCGGGCTTTAACCAACTCGTTCCGCTTCTCAGCCGCCATCCACTCCCGGCGCCTACCTCTTTCTCCCCTTCTCACGGTCCCTCGTGATATCCCGGGGGATTTCCTTCGGAGGGTAGGATAGGATATTGCAACGTAGTCACCACCGGTCATTAGGTAGTGTGTGTTCTCCTCCCTCCCCCCTCCACACACACACACACACGCACACACACACGCACGCACGCACCATACACTTACGCGCCACCACCACCCCACCCACCCTTCTCCATCTCATTTCGGACTTTCGACTCGGGCCCCGGAGTAGGTCGCTATTCGACTCTCCACGAGCACCACATTAGCAACACCTGCACCTCGACGCCGCTCCTCCTGTTCACTCCCGTCCCGCGTACAACATATCTACATACTCTCTCCCTCTCGCGGTTAGCCTCTGCGCCTGCGCCTCCACCTCTCGATCTCAGCCCGTCAGTCGTCTCTCGCGCACCCACCCCCCCCCCCCCCCCCCCCCCCCCCCCACCCCCCCCGCACAATGGGTATGCTTACGCGTGCATAGGTGTGGAAAAACGGGGTTACGAAGTACGGAGCTGCGAGCGAGTCCGGAGAAAAAAAAACTATGCCCTCTTCACGCCCACCTCTATCCTTATCCCAGGATATCTGGGCATCTAAAGGAACCAGTGCGTTTATTAGGCTGCCGGACCACCACCACTTTTTTCTTTCCTTTCCAGCGACAAAGCGTAGCAGTGCCTTTGATTTCTCTTCGCTCCCTAATTATAAATACCTCCACCTACGGCTGCATCGACATTAATAGCAAAGTGCCAAAAGTACTTTTTACTGGCCGAGCGAATCCTAATCAAAAGCTATGGAAGAGGGCAACTTGATATTATCGGCCGATCGATCGTCAAGTCAAAAATGCTAGTAAAAGAAGGAGCGAGTCGATGGTAACCAAACGGACTAAACGTTACGGGCATTGCTGTAGTTTAAATAAGTGTATCGGTTCGTTTTAAAGTGCTTGTGATTTACAAACAATGTAATTACAGCAATTGTAAATAATAAATAATAGCAATTATATGGTAAAGGTGCAAGCTTTTACAATCGAACTCTGCTCAACTCACCTAAAAATGAAAACAAGATACAGTGCAGGCGAATGCAAATCGCTCGTCAAATCTGACGATAATCATGCATTTGCACATATTGTACTTCAATAGAGAGAGAGAGAGAGAGAGAGAGAGAGAGAGAAATAATAGACAGCCCATGAGTGGCCGAGCATACCTACATAAACACGTGCAATCGCGGCCATGAGCTCTCTCGCGTGCGCGTGAAAACCTGATAAGCGAGAAAGAGAGAGAGAGAGAACAAAGCGCCTTTAGAGACTGTACATATAGCAGAAGCGGGCAACACAAAAACGGAATTATATACATGCATTCGGAAGACGAGGCAATCTCTCGCACTTCTTTGTGGCAGTAAGATAGATAGATAGATAGAAAGATATATATATATATATATATATATATACAGAAGTAAAGTGTAGGGCTAATATTTACCTCAAACAACAGCAATCCTTACAGAATGAGCATTTTAAAAAAATTCTAGATATCACACGCTTGTTATTTCCATCTTCAAGCGCATTTGAATATTTCTGTTCTTTTTTTTTTAATTCTTTCTATATAACTACTTTAAATTAATTTAAATTTATATATTTAAAACTGAAGTATTGAGTGTGCATTTTTAAGCTTATGCATCACAATGTACACGAATCAGTAATCCTAAAGAAGAAAATATTTTAATTAGAATAATTTACAAGCACAGTTGGATATAAAAATTAATTTCTCAGATTATGACTATGACAGTTATTATAAATGGGAAAGACAAGGATGCGAAAAGATGAGATAATTTGCAAATTCGGAAATATGAATTATGGCATCTATCAACTTAAACATGAAAGAAATCGTGATAATTTTATAAAAGTTAAAGGGCAATGTCGAAGGGATGTGGCTATTTATATTTTGTATAATTTACACGTGAAGGCGAGCAAGGGCGACATATATTGTTCAATATTAATTGTTTTCGAAGGAATCAAAGTTACCGAAAAACTTCGTGTTCTAGGTTAAGTACAACGCTCAATACTCATTTTACAGCAAACTACGGGCGATTCTAACTGCGGGCGATTTTCCCGTTTACCCGAAGTAATTTGACTTACTGATGTTTGCACGATAATTACCTGGAACGTTGATTTGACGGCTCTCAGCTCGAAGGAACACTATCGGACACCAGGTTAGAAAATCGCTTTCGCGCACTACTCCCACGAAATTTATTTTGCTCGTCTTCGTCGAAAACGGAGCAACACTAGCAGCAGTTTCTCCGGTAAAATAAGTATATACGTCTACTACTCGTGTAATGAGCAGTGCAGAGGACAGTAAAGGAAAAAAGTGAGAAGAACCGTGCGCCTATACGAACGCACACGAATACACACGTACAGAAAGTACAGCCACTGCTGGAATTTAAGACAACTCTTCCGTCGTTGTCTCCGGTCTCCCGTAGCGGATTGCTCGGCGAAGTTGTCTCTCGCGCGCGCAGGGTATACAGTGTATAGAGAGAGAGAGAGAGAGAGAGAAAGTGAGAGAGAGAGAGAGAGATGATGATGGTAGGTGGTGACGGAAGATAATACGAGTAATGAGGAAGACACCTGCAGAAAACGCGCGCATTTATTAAAAAAAATCCAAAGTAGAAAAGCTACGGAAAGAAAGTGGAACTTGGGAGTGTCGCTGCTCGTCAGATCTGCCGTTAAAGCAGTCCTCTCTCTCTCTCTCTCTGTCTTTCTCCCACTCATTCTCTCTCTCTCTCTCTCTCTCTCTGTCTTTCTCCCACTCATTCTCTCTCTCTCTCTCTCTGTCTTTCTCCCACTCATTCTCTCTCTCTCTCTCTCTCTATACACTGTATACCCTGCGCGCGCGAGAGACAACTTCGCCGAGCAATCCGCTACGGGAGACCGGAGACAACGACGGAAGAGTTGTCTTAAATTCCAGCAGTGGCTGTACTTTCTGTACGTGTGTATTCGTGTGCGTTCGTATAGGCGCACGGTTCTTCTCACTTTTTTCCTTTACTGTCCTCTGCACTGCTCATTACACGAGTAGTAGACGTATATACTTATTTTACCGGAGAAACTGCTGCTAGTGTTGCTCCGTTTTCGACGAAGACGAGCAAAATAAATTTCGTGGGAGTAGTGCGCGAAAGCGATTTTCTAACCTGGTGTCCGATAGTGTTCCTTCGAGCTGAGAGCCGTCAAATCAACGTTCCAGGTAATTATCGTGCAAACATCAGTAAGTCAAATTACTTCGGGTAAACGGGAAAATCGCCCGCAGTTAGAATCGCCCGTAGTTTGCTGTAAAATGAGTATTGAGCGTTGTACTTAACCTAGAACACGAAGTTTTTCGGTAACTTTGATTCCTTCGAAAACAATTAATATTGAACAATATATGTCGCCCTTGCTCGCCTTCACGTGTAAATTATACAAAATATAAATAGCCACATCCCTTCGACATTGCCCTTTAACTTTTATAAAATTATCACGATTTCTTTCATGTTTAAGTTGATAGATGCCATAATTCATATTTCCGAATTTGCAAATTATCTCATCTTTTCGCATCCTTGTCTTTCCCATTTATAATAACTGTCATAGTCATAATCTGAGAAATTAATTTTTATATCCAACTGTGCTTGTAAATTATTCTAATTAAAATATTTTCTTCTTTAGGATTACTGATTCGTGTACATTGTGATGCATAAGCTTAAAAATGCACACTCAATACTTCAGTTTTAAATATATAAATTTAAATTAATTTAAAGTAGTTATATAGAAAGAATTAAAAAAAAAAGAACAGAAATATTCAAATGCGCTTGAAGATGGAAATAACAAGCGTGTGATATCTAGAATTTTTTTAAAATGCTCATTCTGTAAGGATTGCTGTTGTTTGAGGTAAATATTAGCCCTACACTTTACTTCTGATATTTCAACTGTGATTGCTAAATTAAAGTAGGTGAACCAAATTAAATGTGCAAATCATCATTTAAAAGAATTATTATCGACCTAATCTGTGCAAAAATCAAGACAAATGTGCTTCAACTGCAATTAAGATACAGTAACGTACATTGATATTGTATTTCTGTGCTTCCGCAAAAGTGAAATCATGTAACATTCATGATTCTCTTTCAGTATCCAGTCAAATTTTGTGTTGTGCAATGTGCTTTTATTAATAATGGATAGCTTTTGCACAAATTTGTCTTTTAACAATTTGAGGTGGTAGTGAATTTGTAAATGGAACTTGAGCCTAGAGAAGGCACAAATCTATAAAACTCCAATAGAATGAGCGATAGAAAGGACCTATGTTCTGCGAATTGATGGGTATATGCTTTTCCTGCAGGAGACCCACAAGTAACCGATTAAATAACAAGATCTCAGAACATATTTCGGCATCAGTAACTCCTCTCCATGTTTGTCTTGAAGAACCAAGGGGACCAGAATTGGGCTCGTGTAATATCACAGCTCTTAGACCACAGGTAAGCTTTATTTTCTATTCTTACAAAGTTGAAATTAATGCTATTATCGTAATTAAAGGATAATTGAGGTATCCATTTGAATTTAATATTTTAAAACTTAAATTAACATTATTAATAATGTGAAGTATTACGTAAAATATCAATGAATGCAATATGTATTGTACGTTTACTATAATTACAAATCACTAATTTACTGCAAATTTATTGCGATATTCAAGCTATTGATTCAAATTTATGTTAAGTAGTAGTGGTATAATTCAACGATAATACTAAATAATAATGTGAATGTAAAGTTTTGATGATGATGAAATATTGCAACGTCCTTATAATTAACCAAAAATACTACTTTGTTAAGAAGGTTGAAAGTGTCTATTGTACGAGGGGAAGACGAGAAGAACTTGGTGAGGAAGAAAGTAAGAAAGAGCTGCTCCACTCTGGAGCAGATGAGCTGAAACAAAACCAAGGAAGCATGGCTAATACTATAAGTAATATGAAAATGACAAACCCCATAAAGGGGCTAGTCAGTAAGCGGCGGAAACGTTTTACTGCCGATGGGTTTGACCTTGATCTCACATGTATCCTCTTTAATGCACATTTGTACATACATAATTTTATAATATTTTAATTTATTAATTACTTATTAAAAGCAGTCCAAAAATATTTTCATTACATGTAAAAATTGTAGATATAAAAGATAATTTAATAGCTATGGGTTTTCCAGCGGAAAAATTAGAAGGTGTATACAGAAATCACATTGACGATGTTGTCAAATTTTTAGAGTCTAAGCATAAGGATCACTATAAAATTTATAACCTGTGAGTAAATTTCTATTAAAACTTAAAAATTTGCAATAATTTAAATGCCAATGGATGTTTTACGCTCGTTGTTTTTCACACAAAGATGCTCGGAAAGATCTTATGATTGTAAGAAATTCAAACAAAGAGTGGCGACCTATGCGTTTGATGATCACAATCCACCATCGCTAGAACTGATAAAGCCATTTTGTGAAGATGTACATACGTGGCTTACACAAAATGACTCTAATGTTGCCGTTGTTCATTGTAAAGCTGGAAAAGGTAGAACCGGTGTGATGGTTTGTTGTTACCTACTCCATAGTAAGCAATGTAGAACTGCTACGGAAGCTCTCAACTTTTATGGAACGGAAAGGACGACCGATAGGTAAAATACATACTCTTATATCGATTATTATTAATTGTCAAGTCAACTTATAATACTAACCATATCAAGTGCATCGTACAGTTTCAAATTATACAAATCCTTTTTATTGTCCTAATGATGCAGGAAAGGAGTAACAATACCATCTCAGAGGAGATACGTTAATTACTATTCTACTCTTGTCCAAGAGGGTCTTAATTATCAGCCTGTAACTTTAATACTTCGTGAAATCAAGCTGGATCCGATACCTACTTTTAACGGGGGTCAGGGTTGTAAGTACACAAACGATTTTTCATTTGATTTTGTTGAAAGGATGTTAGAAAGCCAATAACTTCCAATTCGTTCTTTTCAGACCATTTTGTGATATCTGAGGCTAACACTAAAATATTTAGTTCAGAAACGTATGAAGTACGAAAAGGTACCTCCACCCTTTCTATTCCCTTACAACATAGTGTACCCATTAAGGGCGATATAAGGGTAGATTTTTACAACGCGCCTAAAGTAAAACGAAAAGTAAGTTGCTTGGTCTTTCTCTAAAAGTTAGACACTCACTCCTTACCACTTACTATCGTTCACCTTTTAATTATGCTCATTGTAGGAAAAGTTATTTCACTTTTGGTTCAACACATTTTTTGTTCGTGAACATTCGACATCCGAATACGATAATGGAGGACCAATTGAACGAACGACACGAGCATTGAGCTGTGACGGAACCGCTATGGAACTACCAATGGTTCATTCAAAGCCCAGAACAGGTTCGCTAGCAAGTCTGGGTCCAGTACCTCCGACACTAGTATTGACCATAGACAAATGGGGTTTGGACGGAGCGCATAAAGACAAACATCACAAACTCTACAATGCAGACTTCAAGGTACTCTTTTAAACAAATATATACCTTTTTTCTTTCTTTCAACACCATACCGATCATTCGGTTAAACAAAAAATTGAGATTGCACACGCATCATTGTCATTGGTAATAATTAACGCTGCTAATATCATGAAAACAAAAAACAAAACAAAACAAACCAAAAAAAAATTCAATTTTATTAATGAACTGACCGTGGAAATTACATTTTTATTGATTATAAATATACAAAGCTGTATATTAGATTGCATCAAGGCCATCGTACCTCCTGTCGCGTATAAAAGTTATTTATTTTTCAAATTCGATATGTAAACGATGGTACAAAGCATCGTTCCTTTTGTTCGAAGATAAAATAAAACCGTGCCTCGCATCATTCTATTGGGAAACAAGTAAGATATTGCACTTTTAATAAAAGCTTTTAATATAATGAATCCGATAGATCTCGCAAGCTCGCAATCTCAAAAGACTCGCGAGTCGAATCATTTTTCCATTGCAAAGACCTAAATGATAAACGAAGCATTAAGCATCGTGTTATCGTGTTCGCTATTGCGAATAACAAATATCCATGTCAACCTGAACGTCACCTCAAGTCGCCACTAAACATCTTGATAGCGACAATTAACGAACTAGAGCCCCCTTGGCTCAAAAACACACCCAACTTTCATGTATATTCGCGCAATTAACGCCAACATTAACAAATACATAATACCACGACAGACACCCACTGTAGCTCATTAGATATATTGATAGATATATTGACAATGTAAACTATGCAGGTTAGTTTATTGATGCACCGTGTGGGAGGTGGCGTGCCACCTGCAGCATCGACAGTGGCACGAGCCGGAGAAAGCATTCGAATTGGCATGAGTGGCCAAGAGACGCCGAGCGAGTCGAGCGAAGCTGACAGTAGCGAATGCGACACTACGGGGGACGAAGATGGTTGGGAATCGGGTGAGTCTTCTGCATCTCTGGTAGTGAAACGACATTCTCACTTACACGGCATTAGCCACGATACACATGCCCATGCCCACCATAAAGCTAATCTTGGAGGAGCTGCTAAAGAATTACTTCCTCGTGGGGATAGGGATAAAAGGGCTAGCCAAAAACCGAATTCCATCGTTAGCATCAGTCGGTCCTCCGGATTCTTTCGCTCATCCACTTTAGACATATAAAGTTTCATTGCTCGCAGTACTTAAGCACTTTTACTAGGTTATAATTAATATTCTTCTTGGAATGTGTATATTTTTCGCTAAAATGTCTATACGACTATTGAATAACACGAGTGAATATAATTGTGATTTCTTGTCTACTCGATGACATTAACGATTGATTATTGTCTTTCGGCGAGAAACGAATTACGGCGAGAATAAAATGTAAATACATTTTTCCACTTGAGACGTCGAATGTGATTATTAAAAGTGAATTTCAATAAATGATCTGACACGCAAGGCGTATTTGTAATATTGATAATCATTAGTATTGTTAACAAATTTCTTTTAATTGCCATCGTTTTACATGCAAATTATTGAGGAGAAGAGAGAGAGAGAGAGAGAGAGAGAGAGTAAAGCCTATGAGGGACAAACAAATGAAGGAAAATAAAAGATAAGTAATATAAAACTTTGAATGTTGCAAAAACAAAAACAAAAAAAAAACAACAAAAGCAAAAATAAACAAACAAACGAACGAACGAAAAAGTATTATTAAAGCCTAATAGTTTGGTCAGACAATCGAAATAAAAACCTTGTTGTATTAGAAGGACTTGATAGGGAATCCTTATTCTAATAGTTATATTCAAATAAATAAAATATAATTTCAGTGGGGATTGATTTCTTGTGATTACGATAAAATAAAAAAATTTATATAAAAATTGATAATTAGTTCAAATATGAAATATATTTCTTCGAAGATTATCTAACGTTTCAACGCTCCTATTTATAGAACAGTTTGAACGTATAATAAATGCTTACGAAATCATTATTACTAAATATATATATATATATATATATATATATATATATATATATATCCCCAGGTAAATTCTATTTATTAGTCATATTAATTATTATAATTTATTTTTAGATAGAAAACAATTAATCATTAATTAATCTTCGTATTATCTTTCGAAGATAGAAAGTTTATTATTATTATTATTATTATTATTAATTTTTTTTTATTTATTTATTTTTTTTTTTTTTGGCTGACATAAATGAATACAAATTTGACATTAGATCGAGTAAAAATATGTAAATATTAATATTCTGTTGCTTGTTGACATACATAACTTATTACGGTATAAAGTTAATGGATATATAATTCAAAAATAAACGCTGTAAACTTTGTTACTAGATAAATAATTTAAATACGTTAACAATCTTGAACTCAGACACAATTAAATAATATTGTTAATATTTAGTTAATTACTTTTTTCTTTCATTGATATAACGAGAACATTAACATGATTGCTTTAGTCACTTATTTTAGTATTTTAAAGAATTTAAATCTTATATGTATGTGCAATGAATTAATATAAGTTATAATACTTTTATATATTGTGACAATCATAAATTGTAATAAAATTCATCAAGAGTCTGATAATTTATTGTGATTTTATATAAGTTATTGATATATTCAAGAAAAATTAAATTAGTTCAAATATTAGATTATTTAAAGATTACAATTATTCAAAAAAAAAATTCGCTTTTATATTCTCGATAGAGGAGTCAATGTAATGAATCAATAGTCGACGAGATATTAAAGCACAGGAGGAAATATTTACATGATAATCGCAAAATAAAAAAAGACTAATTCTAAGTTTTGACTGATTTTAAAAAGTCAAATCAATAAAGTCAAACAAAACCAGTTAAATAATGTGTAAAATTGTAAAAATATATATAATTAATGTGTTTCTCGAATTAATTATGCAATTATTCCAAAAATTGAATTACTAAATATTCACTCATCGATTATAATTTAACTAGATATCAAATTTCGTAAATTTAATTCTTTCCCAATTACGATTGGATTTTTAAAGTTATGAACCGAAAAAGAAGTTAGCTTTATACATAAATTAAAAATAATACGATTTTGTAATGCGAACAAAATTACAAGGGTAAAATCGACGCAACAACCTTATAAATATAAAAACAAATCATTATAGAAATGTATATGATGTACTTAACACATTCTCATAGATTATTACATATGTTATTATAACAATTTCTTTCCAATAAATTAACTCTTACAAATTTTACAAGCATTTTTAATAATAAAAATGAAAAACACTATGAAGAAGTACACTATTTTTTTTTTTTTTTTTTTTTTATATTTATCTTCAAGATCATGTACATCTGACAACTTTGTGAATTATTATACTCTGTCGCAAATTTAATTATTATATAAATTAAGTAATTGCGAAATATTAATTACGAGCCGACTACACATGCTGTAATTCGGAAAATTTTCGATTGTATCCATTTTAAAACATAACCACTGTTTATATTTGACTTCTCAACATATTTATTATCTATTATTTAAAAGGAGTTCGAATTTTTTTTTAATACTACTTGTCGCTACAATAAATTAAAAAGTAACTTAATTTTTAGAAAATTAGTTGTAATCATCGTGCCGTAATGATTAAAAGATCCTGCTTTTTAATTTTTATATATATTAAAGATTTAAGAGTAATTTTAAACAAAAATGTCGATTTTACCCCGAATCTATGCAATTTTTCACGTTTCTTGTTCTTTCACAATCTTGTGAAAAATTCGCCCGTGTCTTCATTCAAGTTGACAGGTCCAAGCCAATTTTAATAACGTACTCAGGTATGGTTGATAATTACGAATGGATGATCGTTCAGGTGCTACCGTGTGGACTTCAGCCCCCCTCCCCCCACCTCGGATGAACACAAATAAAAAAAAAAAACAGTAACACATAAATAACGCATGAATGTAAAAGCGGCTACAATTCGGCAATATGAAAGTTGAATGCATTAGTAAACTTAATGGTTTTATCGTGTTATAATTATTTTGTGATGTTATACATTATACTTTATATTATTGTTATTGTTATTATTTTATTACTATTAATCTTACAACAAGTACATCTATATTATTACCTTTGTTAATTTTGCTAAGTTCATTAGAACCTATACCACCGTAAACACACCGCTATCATTATTATTATTGTGTTGTATCTATTACTATTACCATTATTGCTTGGATAATTCCAAAATGTAATAATTCATTGTTATATACTTGTATTTGTGTAATTATGTTTAATGCCTATATTATATATTATACATTACTTGACTATATATATATATATATATATTATGTATCACATTTTATAATGCCTCGTAAATTATCGCTCCTCTTTTTTTCATCAAGCACAAATCTATTATACTTGTAAATCAAGAATATAATTGTCACTATGAACTTGTGATTATTATATTTCATTATTCAACACAAATAACGAGCTCTATCAATTCGTAATCACACGTAGAATTCTTTGAGTGCATGTACTTATTATTTGAGTATTCGGTATAATATATACATATATACATATATATATATATATATATATATATATATTCGTTTGCGCGTGCGTGCGTGCGCACTGGTGTGTGCGTGTATACATACATGCATGCATACATATATATATATATATATGAATGCACTTGTGTTTCTCTTTTTGTTTCTTAATTCATCTATCGAGCATGTTATTGTAAACGAATTGAACTTCCAAAGAATTTCGGCAAGAATAAAAATGTTCGAGCCCAACACAAGCGTCACTTAAATAAAAAAAAAATGCACGATTTGTATATTCACATGTGTATTTTTTGCGTGAAAGGACTTTTTAAAAGTTTTGATTGACTGCATAAAAAACATTGATGCATGCTGCGTGATTCCTCCTTCAATTGTGACATTTTGTTCAATTTTTCGAAAATCTTTGTCATCTATTACCGAAGATCTCTGTGTATATGTTAATGTTAAAGATAAATTGCAATTGCTCTTTACCGCGACAGTTGAAACATTAATTAATGACACAATAGACCATCCAAATATCGTAGTTTGTTTTAATTTAAAGCATTTGCTCGTACGCCTAACTGCAATCGTAAAAATGCAAATAATATCAATCGGCTATTTCGATAGAATTAAATCAAACAGATTATCACTTTTCATTGATAATAATAATAATAATAATAATAATAATACGACTTATCCAACTTGAAGAATAAAAATCGATTTTAATGATTGAGTTAAAATAATAAGTACACAGGAATTTACGGAAGATCCTTAAAGTATATTTTTTTTGTAGATAACGTAATTGTAAACCATACATTAAACATGCAAAATATCTCCTTGCATTTCGTCTATTATCTGATTACCGTATTGCGTATATTGATGAGAGCATTTTGCTTCACCGTTCACGTGTGTGATTTTGCATAATATACATCTTAAATAATATAAATAATGTGGATTGTGTAAGATTTTTTTTTACCTTTTTTTTTTTTTTTTTTTTTTTTTTTTTTTTTTTAAATAATTGACGTAAATATGTCTGTTGGCTCCCCCGCAGTGGACTTGGATCGTGGACGCGTGGGACGCTATCGCCTCCTGTCGGATGGAGGGATGATAGATGTTTTGTGAGTCCGTGGTCGCCCATCATCCTCATTCATCCAGGAGAGTACCGAATCATTTAAACAAACTAGCAATAAGCCGTGGTGCCGTACACGGTCTCTACAATGTACTTTTGGATTTTTCACGTCGCATACACGATATATTTCCCCTTTCTTTTTTCTTTCTTTCTTTTCCTTTTCTTCTTTCTTTTTATTCTTTAATACACTCTCGGATGCCATATTATCATAAACACATGCCATCGTTTATGACAGGATGGGTGTTTATTTTCACGAAACGAATTTTTCATGCCATTGATATGATCACCGAACATAATTG